TAACCATGAACATAAACTATATTCTAAGTCAAAAAACAAATCTCAATAAACAGAAGAATCAAAGTCATGCAAAAGATGTCCTCAAATAAAATATTAGAAATCACTTACAGAAAGTATTGAAAAATTTCCTAATTAGAAATTAGATAAGAAACCCCAAAGAGGTCATGCATCAACCAAAAGATAATTAGAAAATATATTAAATTAGATGAATATTAAACACATATCAAAATATGTGGGGAACACTGAAATTAGTCATTAGAAGAAAATTTATAGCTCTAAAGGCTTATGTTATAAAAGAAGAAAGATGTCAGATTAATGACCTAAGCCTTTATTTTAAGAAACTGGAAATAGGAAAGCAAATAAGCCCATCAAATGTAGAGAACAAGGACTTCAGATAAGTCACCAATGAAATAGAAAACAGAAAAATAACAAAGAAAATCAATTAAACCAAGAGTTTTTTAAAAATGTTTTTTCAGTTGTAGATGAGCACAATACCTTTATTTTATTTATTTATTTTTATGTGGTGCTGAGGCTAGAACCCAGTGCCTCACATGTGGTAGGCAAGCGTTTTGCCACTGAGCCAAAACCCCAGCCCCCTAAGAGTTGTTTTTGGGAAGATTAATAATTTTATAAACCTCCTGCCACACTGTTTAAAAAAGAAAAGAAAAATCAGCACCGATTATCAATATCAGGAATCAGAATCAGGAGGTTCTATATGTATTAAATTAATAATTATAAAAGATGATGAAAAAGCATTATTTTAGTATATTTGCAGACGTAATGAAACTTTAAAATGTTCTGAAAGATACAAATTATCAAACCTTATGAAGAAAGAGATAATCTAAATATTCTTACATCTAATAAAGAAAATTGAATCTGCAATAAAATAGAAGACATGGTCCTCTACAGAAAAAATTTGTGGAATCTCAATAACAGTGAATTTAGTAAGATTTCAAGATCCACAATTAGTGTACAAAAAATTATTGTGATTCCATAGATGAGCAAGAAACAATTCCAAAAACAAAGTGAAATAACAAAATAGCGTAAAAATACAAAAAAATAAAGTTAAAATGAACAAATGATGTGCAAGAAAAGCTATAAAATATTAACAAAAAAAATAATTTAGTGCCAAAATAAACAGAAATACATGATCATGGATCAGAACACTCACTGTTGTGGGGCTGTCAGTTGTCCCATATTGATCTATAGTTTGAAAACAGCCCAATAAAAATATCAATAGCATATTTTTGTAAAACTAATTAATGAATTAACAGAATAACAGTATATGAAAATCAGTAAACATAGCCTGAGATCCAGTAATTTCTGACATGAATTCACCCAACAGAAATTTATACCTCAGAGAGCATTTACAGCAATCTTCTAACAGCATAGTTTGCAAAAGATTAAAAGAGAAGACATCCCAAAGGTCTAGCAACAGTAAAAGGAATCCAAAATTGCAATACATGCATCAATGGGCCACTTCAGGAAAAGGATAGTAGTTGATTGACTGATGTGTAACACTTGAATAAATCTCTCAACCAGATTTGGATTTGGATTCAAAAGCATCCAAATCCAAAAGCAAACTGTTAGATGACAGATGATATCAAGCTCAAAAACTGGCAAAGCAAACCTGTGGTATTAGAAGTCAGCATAGCGGTTACCATAGGGGAGAGAGGATCTGCAGGGGGGGATTTTAATTTTCTAATTTTCGAGCTATGTGGGGCTGGTCACAGAGATGGTTCATTTGTGCAAATTCATCTACCTTTACACTTAGTATTTGTGCATTTGTTTGTGTATACTTATACAAAAGCAGAACATTTGTTAAAATACCAGCCTTAGCAATGCATAAAACCTGAGAAAGAAGCTGTCAAATCCCGCAGAAGTTCCTGCAAGTAGCGGCTTGTTTCACGCCCATAACAGCTGTGTTTTCCAGTGTATTTGGCTCACTGAAAGCATCATGTGGACAGATTAAGAAGCTATGTGGTCATTCCTTTTTTGAAAACATCAGTAACTGATGTAAAAAGGAACATCCTTCCAAAAATCACACTGATGAAACAGTGAAAAGCATCTTAAAAGAAGAAAAGCCTCAAACCTTGGGGCTGAGTATCAACCAACTGTTGCTGCATGTAAATGCCAGTGAGAATACCACACCAGTACTTTAGAACTGCTGTCCAGTCCTGGTTGCTGTTGCTCTGTATACACAGATCCAGATGCTTTGGAAGCTTTGTCCAGATGCAAGGCACCTATAAGCCCTGTATCTTTATTGAAGAACACGCTTCTCTTAACCCCTGTGAGCACACAAATCACATTTTGGCAGAAATGCTTCTGTCGAACTTCCCTGGAGTGTTCAGAGAGGGACAGCTTTCTTTGTTATATGAAGGTTTGCTATCATCTTTATGCACGTGTATGTTTTATCATGGTAACAACAATAACAAAAAAATCTTAGTTTTCTTCTGTTATGTACAGAAAATACATTAGAAAAAAAATGTAAGCCTATGTTGAAAGTTTCTGTTCTGAAACTATATGAAGCTAATATCAATCTCATATGTTGCCCCCAGGTTGAAATGTTTAAATGAGAAACTGTATGTCACAGTGTTGGGTGTTAATTATATTAATTATCTATGCCTCACACGCTGATACCATTACTTTGCTAATTATGGCTTCCTTAAATTCATATGTAAGTTAGGCACGCTCCCAGAGAAGGGAATCCGTGATGCATAGTTATAGAAGCCAGCCTGAGATTCAAGCAAAGCAGAATCTGGGGTACCTGAACAGGTGACCCCGTGATGCATAGCTATAGAAGCCAGCCTGAGATTCAAGCAAAGCAGAATCTGGGGGCATATTTGTTACATTTTAAGACTAAAAATTCCTTAAAGAGTTTTGGGGTTAAATGAAAGGCATTAAGAAGAGAAGTTTGATAAATATTTGTTGAAAATCAGGATAAATTCAATTTACTACTAAGGATGTACTGATGATAGACAGGTTTTACCAGAGTTTGGGCCATCAGATCTCACATTCATGGCGTTTATTTGTACTTGACAAAATTATTTGAATGATGATGATTTAACTCATCTTGTTTGACACCTTAGCTCACCGTTAAAGGCCAGTCCTCTGCAAAATTGTGCTTGGGGGAGGGATCTTTGGTGTGACTTCTTTGTTACATTACTGAGGCTTGATTTTCCCCTCTGGCATCCAGTGCCTCTCCCAGGTTTTGTTTCTCCTGGGCCACACCTTCTGGTTGTTTTAATGTCTCCTGGGGACTTAACAGAAAGCTCTTTGCAGAGAGTGGCCTC